CCACGAGGGTGAATCGGTGTACATGATCTGCAAAGAAAATGTTAATTCGCGAAGAAGTAGAAAACTTATGTAAAAATTCGAAAAAGTATATCACAGAAATTATTGACATTTTAAATTTCAAGAAGCATATCGTCGTGTCACAAAGTTGTCGTATTGTTGCAATCTTAAACTTCATTAACAGGAAATTATATTAACCATTCGCTTGAGACTTAATTTTTTTTTTTATAGTTTCGCTGATAATTATAACGAATGTGTACATTTGGTATTGTGCGACGCGATATATAGTAGCATAATATCGGAACAGACGCCTGGAGTGAAATAAAGAATTTCAGAAGAAGAAATTTCTGAAGACAGTCGTGAGTCAGTTGACACTCGTTGGAATAATTCACATAAATTTCTCTCAGAAGGGACAGTCGAGTGTAAAGGATTAAATCGTACCATTCTACCATTTATATTCTATTATATCTACCATTAATATTCTATCGTTGGATGTCTTTCTATTGCTTCTTACGAAAAAGTATTTAAAAAAATATTCATTATCGTTAACTCACCAATGCACGTTGACGATTGCTTTAAATCTGAACGATATATCGCGTGTTGGAAAGATACGATCAACAAGATCTCGTGTTAAATGCCATTTGAATGATTATTTCCAATGCTAGATCATTCTGTTTGAAATGATGATTCGTTGATAGATGATGACACGGAAGAAAAAGTTCTCGAGGGACACGAATTAATGCATGCAGCCACTATGGCTGGTAAATTGAAAAGAGAACGTGTCGAGACGGCGAAAATGGCGGCGAGCTTGGCGAAGCTTGGGATCTCTTGGTACGAAAGAACGAAAGAACGAACGAACGAACGAGCAAACGCCTAGAGAAGTGACAGTGGCGTTTCGAGCGTTTCCTGTGGGTCGTCGCGAGGCGTGGTGCGGCTGTCTTTCGTGCGCGAGCATTTGCTCGCTCGGCTCGGCTCGGTTCAAGGCGATCCAGAAGCGAAACGGCGCGACGTAGAGCAACAGAGGCGAGTTACGACGCTCTGAATCTGAATCTCTCACGGTAACCACGCCGCTATAATCCTGCCTCGCCCCGTATTCGGGTCAACGCCGAGTAGTAGAAATTACGTAAGCACGTATACGAGCTGCGGGGCGGTTCCCACCGAGTCGTTCTACCGGAAGTCGGGACCACGGCGACGAAGCCTTGTCGTAAAGGACAAGTCAACGTACAGGTCAGCGCGACGCTTCATGGGAAATCGCTTCCTCTCGTCATAATGGGAAAAATTCATCATCGGAGGACGAATCGGTTACGGCTGAAAAGTGTTACAAGGAAAAGCTGACGCTTCTGCCGACGAACGAGAGTGCAAAATCACTTGGAAGAGAAGAAAATGAGAGAATTTGAGAAGAGATTGTTATCCGATTCGCCTCGGGGGCCATTAACAGCGTATCGCTGCTCGCTAGTTTGAGTTTCGTCAGCGTTCCAAATTCTCTCGGACGCGAGATCGTAGAAATCGATCAACGGAACGTTTCAAGGACTTCTTTGTCCGTGTTCATTATTTCTTCAGCGTCGCCGCGACCATCGATGCCTTTATCACTCGAGGCTTTATTACGTTCGTTGCGTCATTTTCAGTGTTACGAAAACCATGTTTGCCATGTCGAACGTTTCCGAACGTCTCTCGTTCTTGTTCTCGAGAAAGCTAATTCTAGCTTCAGGTGTCGATGATCATTAAGACGGCATTATATTAACGGATCACCGTCCGTTTTCCTTGGATATTCCTCGTATCACGATTCACGAAACAACGTGCTGTACGATAAATCGATAACTTTCCACATTTTACGAGAACGTCATTTCACGCGAGTGGAAACGCTTGGAATTCTTTCGAATCTGATTTCTATCGATCGACCCGAATCTACCGCAGTTTCTACGCCATTATAGACAAGCCGTTTCCGCACAATTGCATATCTCAGAGAAATTAACCTTAATATACGCGCGTAATAGAACAGTATGCACGCTTTCAAGGTTTTCTAGAAGATAAATATTAACAATTGTGCGAGGTTGGACTCCAATTCAAAGTAATGAATTAAATTTGGACAGAAGCGACCAAAATTATCGTAAATACAATAACAATCTGTACACTAAAATTCGTTCAATTTTTTAATTTATACTATACATCGATATAATTATACATTAAATATCTACAGTATTTCAAAGTAATGAATTAAATTTGGACAGAAACGACCAAAACTATCGCAAATAACAATCTGTACACTAAAATTCGTTCAATTTTTTAAATTTAATTAATTTAATTATACATCGATATAATTATAAATTAAATATCTACAGTATTTCAAAGTAATGAATTAAATTTGGGCAGAAATGACCAAAACTATCGTAAATAACAATCTATACACTGAAATTTTTAAAATTTTATAGTACAGATTGTACAACATCGTCGAACGTCGTCAACTTTCCACTACATCGTCGAAACATGGTCAAGAATTTTTTCTGAATTTCCTGAAGCCTAAAATTCGAGATATTTGCATGTAAAAGATCGAGGCAAACTGCACACCCACGCAAACAAAGTTGTATTTTAAATCGTCCAGGCATCCACCAGCCAGAGAAAGAGCAAATTCATCGATAGCGATCGATAAATACGTAAAAGTCATCGTGTTCACACAAGTCATTCCACTGATTTGCATAAGAACGCGATATCATTTCCAAACATGCCATCTCGTGGTACGAAAAATCGTGCGGTTGAGGAATGAATGGTAATTCCGGCGCTCGCTGCGATCGAGTTGGCCATAATATACTTTTCTTCGTTGGTCACTTGGCTCGCTTGGCGAATAGCGCAGGCTGGTTCGTGCGAGCGATAAGGAATTTTGCCGCGCATACCATTCGCGCGTGCTCGAGTTCACCGGTCCGCGAAACTCGCTCTCTCCTCGCCATCTTCTGCTTCCTATTGACTATAAACCGTATCCCAATGCAGATCCGGTTTCGTGCCTGGAAACTAGAATAAGTCGGCTCTCGGCCTGCCGACATTCTAATCCAAACGATTTTGATTACGACTCGCGTGACGCGATAAAAGCGTTTCCCTCTTCCATCGCGGCTGGTAGATCGACTTCCCTCGATTCCATCAGCCTGCAATCTGCCCGCAGCTGGCAACCTTCCTTTCTACTTGCGTCGTCTTGCGCCGCTTGGAAACGTCCCTTTTCGTTGTTACGTGTATCTATCAGGGTAATTACCGAGTGGAATTGAGCCGACGATTACGCTAATAGACTGATAGCGTGTCGCTCGCAACGCACGGCTGTAGTATTATTACGTGCTACACCGTTTTTCAAACGGCAAACGTACGAGGTTCGTGAACGCTTCCGTGGAAACGAAATGGAAACGGAAATCAAGTGAAACTTGTAAACGCTCGCTGCTGTGCAGTGGCGTTTAATAATCGCACGAATATCAAATTCAATTTTGTTGTTGTGCGATGTAATTTAACTGTTCGATCAACTTTGCACATCAACTTTTAGTCAATTTCAATTGATGTTGGATTCGAAACTTCCAGGTAATCCCGTTATGCCTTCTGCTGCTAACAGAAGCGAAGCGAGTGGAGATCCGGCCACGGATAGCAGAGCCGCAGGTTTATTACGAAGAGGAGGACAGCCAAGCGGCTGAGGACGATTACAGTCCAGCAGTCTATCAACCACGCACCCGTGCCCTTCCTTCGCCACGTTCGAAGGACGCATTGCACTCGTCGAAACCGCCGCCAGTCCAGACAATTCGCAATTACAACAAGGTCAACGACGACGGGTCTTTCACATTCGGCTACGAGGCGGCCGACGGCTCGTTCAAGGAGGAGACCCGCGGCACCGACTGCGTGGTGCGCGGTAAATACGGCTACATCGACCCTGACGGCAATAAAAGAGAGTTCACGTACGTGTCTGGCAATCCGTGCGACCCGAACGCGCCGAAGGACGACGAGGACGACCTCGCCGACAAGCAAGAGGAGGAGGATATCTCCGGACCGGCCAACTATCCGTCCGTGAGACCGATACCAAGACCGGTGTCGTCCCGACCCACCTACGCGCAACAATCGACCACGCGCGCACCCACCACCATCTTCCAAACGCACTATCAGCTGGACGATGACGCGAGTCAAGAGCTGAGCGACGAGGACCTCGTCAAGCCGTCGCAGTTGAGAGTACACAGCGGCGGGTACAGGACAGCGGCGCAACAGCCGACCTACGTTCAAGTCACGCCGTCGACGGCTCTTTACGAACCATCGCCCACGGCCAGTCCCGCTCTCTATCGACTAGCCTCCTCGACGACCCAGTACCAGAGCACCGATTCGCCGATCATCCGCGCTCAACCCACCGTCTCGTCGACGGCGTACCAAACCCTCGAAACGACGACCCGTCGCCCAGTGACCCGCCACCCGAAGCCGCAATCGGTCGCTATCACTCCCCGACCCCACGTTGCACAAGTCGCTGCCCAGTACGTGTCCCCGAGTAGCACCGAGCGTCCAGCGTTAGCGTACAACCGCCCCTCGGCCGTCAGCACCGTGTCGCCCAGCAATCTGCGCAGCAGCACCGCATCCGCAGCCGCGTCTCCTCACCTTGACTTTGCCGCCGAGCTCGAGCGTTACGTGAACACGGTCGGCGTAGCCCCGAGTTCCAAGCCCCAAGCTCAATCGTCCTCCTCCCAATCGTCGAAAGTTAAGTTAACCGCCGGCCAAGCGCCGATTGCTGCCTCCGCCGCAGACCCCATCTACCAGTCGGAGCTCGTTTACGATCCGGCCACCGGTCAGTACAACACCCAGCTTTATCAAACGCTACCCCAAACCGTGGGTGACTTCACCCTAAGTCACAAACTCCAACCGTTCGTAGCCCAGCCCCAGTCCTACCTCGGACTCCAGCAGCTGCAGCAGCTTCAGCCCCAGCAGCCGCCCCAGCGTCAGTCCCCGCTTTACAAGCAACCGGCCACCCAGCCCGCGCAATCCGCCCCCGCAGCAGCCATCAGCCAACAGCCGCAGGAAGTGCTCTACAGAAAGCAGCAGGCCCAGCTGTTGCAGCAGTCGCAACAGCTCTACGCTCAACAGCAACGACGCCAGCAACAACAACAGCAACAACAACAGCAACAGCAATCGGCTCAGTCGCACAGGCTTCAACTGCTCGAGTCTCAAACGCAACCACAGTCCTTTTACTACGTGGCTCCCGCGAGGTCCGCCAACGCTGCCAGCGCGCCTCTTTCCGTAGGTCAGATCGATCACTATCTCCGAGCCACCGCCTCTCGTTATTGATCCCATCTAGCCAGCGAGTCTTTTTCTCTTCCCCCCCCCC